TCTAGGTAAAGAATTGGAACATTACAAGTATATATAGAGGTAAGAATGAAGCCTTCTTCACTCTTGTCAATTCCTTTCTTGCTTCTAATTTAGATTGAAGAGTCTCTAATTTCTTTGTCTTTTAGCAATAGCTATTCCAATTTCTTTTTTATATACATAATTCTTTATTTTTATTTTATTTCTTTTCTTTTGACATAGATTTTCCAAGTTTATGCATCATCTTTTTGTGTATGTCCTTGATATGTATAGACCAAAGATTCTTTATCTTCTAATATATAACTTTTAAGTTATTCTCTCTCTCTCTCTCTCTCTCTCTCTCTCTCTCTCTCTCTCTATATATATATATATATATATATATATATATATATACATATGTCATTTTAAATATTTATATTTTAAAATATTGTTATTATGTCTATTTGATGAAATTTTAATTCTTTAATTGCATCAAGTCTAAGAACTATATAAATTGAAGTTATTTTTTTACTATCAAAATAAAAGTCTCATTATACTTAATGCTTTCTTTTTGAGCATGAATTTTGATAACAAGTATTATATTATAATACTTTATTAAATTATTTTTATTGTAATCAATATTAAAAATCTATTTACATCTAATATATTTTTTACCTATTGATAGAGATGTCAAAGTCGATGCCTTAATATTAATAAGATTTTGATACTTCAAATCTATTCTTTATTTTTATTTCTAAACATCATCTTTTTTTTATAATTTTAATGAAAGTAATTGGTACTTTAGTGCTTGTTTAAAAAATATATACCATGCAAAATTAAAATATAAATAACTTAAAAGGCAATCAAGCCAATCATGATTCATCAATTATTTTTAGATTTTTTAATTTATGTACTTATAAATTAATTTATATAGGTAAAGATAGAAATAAAGAAAGAATTAGAGGTGTGATTGTAACAACTTATTGATATCCAAATATATAAGCTTGCAATCAAATGTCTTTTACTAAAGATAAAGATTCAATTATTGAATGTTGTTGTCATTTTCTAAATCTTCTATACATTGCTATTTTTATTTTCAAAATTAAATGTAGAATCTATAGACTCAATCTTAATGACCATTTTAAAAGTCTTATCATTAGAAACCTCTAAACTGCCTTCTATTTTATTAAGATTTTTACATTTAACAAACTTGACATGACAATTCTTGAACATTAAGCCATATTCAATATCATAGAAAAAATAGTACTTATTATCCTCAATGTATCTTAGAAAAATATATTTTTTATTTTTAGGATTATATTTTGTATATTTTTATCTAAAATATGTATATAGACATCATATCTAAAATTATAAAGAATTTTGATTAATAATATTTAATTTAATCAAACTTCTTTTAATATTTTTTCTTCCAAAGTTATAGTAGAAGCAAAATTAAGGACATTTATTGATGCAATGTTGATGGCTTGTATATAGAATGCATTAAAAAGTTGCTTATATTTCAATAAGCACTTAATACTCTTAATTAATGTCCAATTCATATATTCTATAATTCCATTTTGTTGAGGTATATAAAGTAAAGAGATTTATTATTCAATGTCATGTTCTTCACAAAAGTGCTTAAAAGCCTTGAATATATATATTCACCACCATTGTTACTATGTAATTTTAGAATATTAAAGCCTATTTTTTTTTTCAACTAGAGCCTTAAAAATCTTAAATTTTTCTAAGACTTCCATCTTTTGCTCTATAAAATATACAAAAATAATTTCTTAAAAAACTACCAAAAAAAGAAAAAAAATATTTTTTCCTTCAATAAACTTCAAGAATTTAATTATAAAGGTCTTTCCTTTTATTTAAAAGTATTGTAATATTTTTTGTAATAAACACTTCTTTTATAAAATTCTAAATTTTTTATCCTTGCCAAAATCCAAAGGACTAACCATATCATCTCATTGTAATTTATTCAAGCCTATAATGCAAAGATGACCAAATTATTGAGGCTAAAAATCTAAATTATTTGTGATTTGTCTTCTCACATAAATAAGTAAAATTATATTTGTATGTGAAGATTCTAATAGCTTTAAAATCTAATATCCTTCATAATAATATTTTCACGTCTCACAAGACAATTGTTTGATTTGAAGTTGACTTCATAACTTTGATCTATTATTTTGCTAACTAAAAAAAAATTCTAAGCCAATCTTGTGACGTGCAAGATATCATGCACATATTTCCAAATCTTATTTGAAGGTTGAAAATAAATCTAATTCTTTTGTTTAATGGTTGATCTAATACCATTTTTTTGATAAATCTTAGGACAAAGTGATAGGTTGTCATAGCTTAAAAATAAACTTTAATTTCAGATCATATGCTAAAAATTACATAAAACAATATACCACTTTTTATCATTTATAGTAAAAAATAATATTGCCACAACATATATTCATTGTAATATTTTTTTTGGTTTGTCATAATTTTTTGTTGTTTTTAAAAACAATTATTCAACCTCCTTGATTTTATATCCTTCTTTTTGTTCCAACACTCTTTTTTATAGTTATCTTCTTTACTAAAATATCTAAATTTGATAACGCCTTTGTAAGCATGAGAAATTAGGTCAAAGACATAAATTTCAAAGAACCAAAAAATCAATATATTCTTGTATCACTAAAAAAAAAAAAAAAAAAAAGTAATCACTCAAAGATGGTATAATATTAAAATAGAATGGATATTATATAAGATAAGAAAATTAGAGACTCTTAAGACAAGAGTAAGGGCAAGAAAGACATTGACAAGAGTGAAGAAGGTTACATACTGCTAATGCATCCTTTGAGATAGATCTTACATTCTTATTATAAGAATCTTATTGTAGTAGGTGAGTAATGACCATTTGTCATATTAATTTGATTAAATATAAATTTCTAGAAACATCACATGCATATTGAAAGTTTCTTCAATACTTCCTAGTATTGCTATGACAAAGTATATATCTGAAACTTTCTTGTCCATATTTTCTTAATTAGATATTATTGTAATTGTTTAAGTATCATACATAGCTATAGGTCTAAATTTTAATATTTAATTAAAATAAATATAATATTTTTAAAAATATATTTTTTATATTGTGCTTATATTTAAAATAATTATTAGTAATAAGATATTATTTAGATTAAGATAATAAAAAAATATAGATTTCTTCACATGATATAATAAAAAATATATATGAATATTTAAAAAATAATAAAATAATAAAACATGCAATATTAAATCTACCTCATGATTTAAAAAAATACTATTTCTATTATAATTTCTTTATAAGGTCCTATTATATTTCATAAGTAAATAAATATGTATCATATATAGTTTAATTATTGCAAATCATTTCCTTGTATCATGGCTGAGTGATATTGTAATAACTAATTTCTATTGAAAACTTGGCTCAATATTTTTTTTAATTAACATATCAATGAGCAGTAAAGGTATATTAGTATATGACACTAGATTATTACAAGAACCTCAAAAAAAAAAAAAAAAAAAAAAAAATAAGAAGAAGAAGAAGAGATTTCTTGTTCATTCTTTTAGGGGATATAATTTTTTTAAAAAATAAAATCAGCCTTAACTATTTACTATTTTTTTTATTTAACCATTATATATATATATATATATATATATATATATATATATATTTGACTTTAGAATTTTTTTAGTAATACAATCGACCTATCTATTATTTTTAAACTAATTAAAATCCATAATACAAGCATGATAATACGCCTTCTCCTTATCAAATTTGTTTTTAAAAAATTTCCATCAAAAAAAATATTTATAAAATACAGTGTTATGGTTTCCTATTTATTTTGAAAAAATTCTTCTTCATATAAGATTAATAACTTATCACCTAATAAATTTGTAGTCAATGAAAATGACGTATAAACTATTTTCACTGATTTTTAGTTCTTTAATACTTATAAGATTAAATTTTTATCTGTTTACTATATTATTTTTTTAATATAAGAAATATCAAAAATTGAATTAAAGTATGTAATCTCTAAAAAATTGATATTGAGTTTTTTTTTTTCTTTTTTTCTTTTTTTCTTTTTTCTTTTAATCTAGTTAAAGCTTTTATAAATGATTATTTAAGTAGAATAATATAAAGTTAAGAAAATTAAAAATAATAAAAAGGAAATATAAAGAATGTAGATATTTGAAAATTTTTAATTTATAAAATTAATTTAAAATTAAATTATATTAAATCAATATTTTTATTTTCTAATATTTTATTTTATTTTATTTTTTAGTTTTCCGTAACCAGCTTATTCTGCATAGTAAGTTTACGGTATAAAATATTAAAATTCAAAATTCTTATTGAATATTAAATATTTTAAATTTTTGCTAAAATTATTTATTAACGGATCAGAAATTTTTATTAATTTTTGTAATTTATTCAATACAGTGGATTATGTAAAAGTTCAAAGAATAATCACTATTAATTTAGTTTATCATATGATTTTAAATTTTTATTTCAAAGTTATAATTATAATAACTTTAATAAAAGAAAAGTGCTGGTTTTCTATTAATTTATTATTTTAGTTGTTACTACTATGATGGATTTTGCATTTAAAGCATGTTTGGGATTTTTTGTTTTAGTTTTGGATTATAATCATATAATATTATTATTCAGAATACATTATGATTATTTATTGGTGATTTTTTATTTTGAGGATATATAAATATATATATATATATATATATAAATTACCAACTTATATGAACCGAATGTAATTTTTCTTTTTTTATCATTCAATTTCAGTCTTCAGCATATTTGTACAGTTGATTTTGTTCAATCCTCGAAGCCCCCTGGTGCTGCATGCATGAATAGAAATGTGAGGAAGAAAAGAATGACGTAACATTTTCTGTTCATTATGGCCATGCACTCTCAACGCTAGAATATGAGAGTCATGGATGTATTAAATTTTTTATGTGGTTTTGGTGACTCTGCAGGGTTTACAAATTGTCCGGCATTCATTCCCTACCTCCCTCTCTCCCTTGGCCTTGCCTTGCCTTCTCTCCTTCTTTTCCTTTCCTTCCATCTCTAGTCTTCGTTCCATTCTTCCCCTTCCCTTCCTTCCTTCCCCCATCTTCCAGGTTCTACTTTTTCCACGTCTGAGACTTTCCCTCATGGGTTGTTGTTGTTGTTGTTGGTGCTGCTGCCACTATTTTTTTCTGCGCTGTTGTGCAGCTCAAGCACTTTCTTCCAGGATGTAGGTTTCTATGTTCTTGAGTCTCAACGTTTGTATCAATGTTCAGTTTAATTTTGATGAGTAGGGCTTGTGGTTTGCGGGATGGACACTTCAGCAACAGATTGCCATGAGGAAACTCAGGTTTTGCACTGTAATTCCCATTCTAGTCTACGATTGTAGGTTATACTAATTTCGAGTTCAGGCTATCTTAGTATAACCTGAACAAGAAGTTCACTCTTATTTCGATTATTTGGATTTTTTCTGAAACTTTCAATAATATTTTGAAACGAGGTTGCAACTACAGGTCAAGGGTGACCCACTTCTGTTCACAACCTGAAATTGCTGTAATTGTCTTGTGCAGCGAGGCTTTTTTATTTTGCTAATGGAACAGCCCAGGAAGGAGTAACGTTTTCATTATGCTTACTGATCCCTCACAACGTTCAGTGATATTGTAACTCGAAGTTAGGATCAAGAGCTCTTGCGGAGTTTGTTACAATTCTTTTTTACCATTCAAAGTCGTTTCAGCTAATACTAGAGGTTTGAGGTTAACCAAGCCCATTCGCAAGCTTTTGTCTTCACACGGTAACATGACCATTTTGATCAAGACACCTAGCAGAATAACTCTTGTAACAAATGTGTCTAATCTAGTGGATTGAATGTTGAGAACATCAGAGTTTTCAGTGGAAGTCGTGGCTCAATTTTAGAGTCTACAATCGATTAATTTGCGTCGTTGTCCTTTCTCGTGGTAAATTTCTGTTACGGCTAGTGAGCGCACTCTAGTCTAGAAATACTTGGTTTTCAGATTGGGTTAATTCTGGTATAGCTGGGCATATAAAGAAGTGGGGTGCTCGTGCTTTTTGTTATCTTTTCGGAATTTTAAGTCCAAGATGCCATGATTAAAATCAGTATGACGAGGAGATAGAAATTGTTCCCCAAACTCCGCGTTCTTAGTTGCAAGGGAATCTTTCGGTGCAAGCGTACAGTTAAGTAGACGATGATTTTGCATGTATTAATTTCACATTCATTATTCATCATACTGTTTTCCTGAAGCTGGGGGAACCTTCAATTTTGGGAACTTGACATGTTCATCTGTATCTGCATGTTAAGGGAATTGGAACAAGTCGGAAAATCTATGTGCTCAATCTCTGAACTTGAGTGCTGTTAATGCTGGTGACCATTTTGGTTCGGAACCCCTAGACACGAGGAGGGTTTATTACTGAGAAACATTTTTGTGGGTTGTCATTGCAGGGAATGTTTGTAGGCGATTGAGGTGCCGATTGAGAATGGGATTTGGTGGGATTTGTCTCGCGATTTTCATTATTCTCTGTGATCTATGGCATATGCATCTGGCCACCTTACAACCCATAGTGGGAAGAGGTGCAGAGGATATTACCACATTACCCATCGTTATCGAGTCTCATGGGAGGAAAATGCTGCAAGATGATGAGGTACAGTGTCCTCTCGATTTCTCAATCCTCAATAAGTACACATGGATCAATAATGAATGTGGCTGGACGCAAAACACGTCCACATGCTGCATTGCAGTTTTATCAGGGATGGGTCTCTCACTGTCCAAGTATCTAAGAGAAACGGAGCTTTTTGAGCTTGAAGATGCCACGACAACAGACGTATGTTTGAACAATTTTCAGTTTCAGCTACGACAGATTGGTGTGCAAAGAGATGTGGTGACCGAGTGTTTTAAGCGGCCGAATCCGTTGGACTTTGAATCCTCTATGTTCATTAGAAGTCCCTCGCTGTGCCAAGGAATTCAAACTGTAGATGATTTTAGGAAGACAGTAGGTCAGACGGCAATCGAGAACTCGTGCAAGAGCGACCTCGGAAATCATGATCAGTGCACATTATGTGTCAATGATATGCATATTGTGATTGACAAGTTGGTGAAGATAAATGCTTCCAAAAGTTCAGAGTGTTTTGATTTTGTGCTCATCTATGCGGCTGGGGTGGTAAATATCGATGGGCCATGGGATCGTGGCACCGCATATTGTATTCTTGCTGTTGCGAGCGGAGTGCCGAGTGCCAGTAAAAAGGTGAAGTTAGGGTTGTACGTAGGCCTGGGTGCCCTGGGTGCTGGCGTAACTAGTCTTGCAGTTGGGGGTGCCTTTTGGTATTGGTCGATGCGGAGACGAGCCGCCATTCATCGAAAGTTTGTTGATCGCAACAGTAAGATACTGAAGTCTAACGCCTCCTCATTGGTGTGGTATGAATGGTCGAAGCTCAAAGCTGCTACACATGGGTTCACACAGGAATATCTCTTGGGAGAAGGTGGTTACGGTAGTGTATACAAGGGGGAGCTCAAAGATGGGCGCATGATTGCAGTGAAAAGATTCAGAAATTGCATGTCTGAGGGAGATGTGGACTTTCTCAACGAGGTGGAGGTAATCAGTAAAGTAAAACACAGGCATCTGTTGGTTCTCCATGGGTGTTGTGTTGCAACCAGCAACAATGAAGGACATCAACGGATGCTAGTGTACGACTACATGAGGCATGGAAGCCTCGCTGACTACCTTTTCAACAAGAACAATCCCGTGCTGGAATGGCCGGAGCGGCGGCAAATAGGAATTGGCATGGCAAAAGGGCTTGCCTACTTGCATGCGGAGGTTGTGCCCCACATCATCCATCGGGACATCAAACCCAGCAACATATTGTTAGACGAGCACTTCCACGCTCGTGTTGCAGACTTTGGCCTTGCGAAGCTCACACCAGAGAACGAAACACATTTCACGACGCACATCGTAGGGACACACGGCTATGTTGCCCCCGAATACGCCCTGTATGGGCAATTGACTGGGAAAAGCGACGTATACAGCTTTGGTGTCTGCCTGCTGGAGCTTCTGAGCGGCCGTCCGGCGCTCGCGGAATCGAAGGAGAATCCCAATTTATGCTTGGTCACGGATTGGGCGTGGTGGCTGGTCAAAGAAGGTAGAACGATGGACGTGGTAGATGTCAATATTCGGCATAAGGGTCCTCAAGATGTGATGCAACGGTTTGTCATGGTTGGCATCCTATGTGCGCATGTTTTAGTTGATTTCCGCCCATCAATGACTGAAGCGTTGCGGATGCTGGAAGGAGACACTGACATTCCTGAGATCCCCGATCGTCCTCTCCCCTTGAACTTCGACATGCTCGACCTAGAGTCCAACTCCTACTGCAACTCTGCTCAGTTTACCCCCAGCAGAGAAGGGTCTATCAGCAAAAGTGAGCTTTTGAGATAGCATTGATCAATGAATCGTTGCCAAGATTAAATTTCTATTTCACACTTTGAAGCTGAATCTGGCAGGTTATTTCTAATTTAAATGGGGTACTTCATTTGACGCGCATCAAGAAACTCAAATTCAAATTATCGAAATAAGATCAATGAATCGGAGTGCAGCTGAGTGTCCCACACCTCAAAACTGATTACCATGCAACAACGAAATTGTAGGTTTGATTGATGTACAGAGCCTAGGTATCTTAGTTCTTGGGTTGTTAATTGTACAATAGAAAAAGCATTTTAATTCGGATGATGGTTGTTGGTTTCTATCCGACATGGTGGTTATTGTTGTCAAGCTGTCAGTTTTAGGGAGGAACCATGCCCAGCAGGGCCTCGGATGACTCACGAGAAAAGATTTCTCATACCAGAACGTGAGTAGTGGAAAGTTGAAAAATGTCTCTTTTGATGATATAATATAATATGGTTACAGGGCCATCATATCTTGTAAGATGGACTTGACCATTCCATGAAAACGCTTGAATTGCACCTAAAAAGCGTTCTTCTTCATCTTTTCCTCTTAGGGTCTCTGGATTGATTTTATAATTATGAAGCCAACTGAGTGAGACTTCTTAATTTAGACTAATTAAAGGATTTAGAAGTTGAGACCTCACCTTCTCTAAATTGTAAAAATCTTCTAACCATTCACTTCATATTTTGGCTTATCATAAAAATTTGTGGTGGATTTAAAAAATTTCCTAATTAGATAAATTAAACTTTTATTTAAAAAAAAAAAGTTTTGTTAGCTTCAAAGATTTTGTATAATGATTTAATCAAGAAAAAACCAAGAATAAAATTTTAGCTTCTTTTTTAATTTTATAAATTTTTGGTTTGTTCATATATATATATATATATATTAATTTAATTTTGTAGCTTGATTGAAATATCCATTTAAAAAACCTTATAAGTTGTATTATAAATAATATTTGTTTTAAATTCAATTTTATTTATGTTTAAATTGCTTAAAACTAATTTTATTATTAACAATAAGTTTAATAAAGTTATTGGAGATTTATTGCATATTAAGCACATTCACCATTTTAATTTTATTAAGGTTCTAAAAACATCTATTAAAGAAATAAGTATATTCTCAAAAAATCATAGGACTTATCATTCAATCAAAACATATATATACATATATATAGATAAGATTTTATAAATTAATATATGTAAAAAACTCTAAATCTGAAAATAGACTAAATAATAATTTTCAAAGTATATTATTCAAACAATACAAAAGATACAACAAAATGCATTTAAGTAGTTTTTTTAAAAAAAATATAAGATCAATGAAAAATTATATATAAAATATTTGTTTAATATTTTTTCTTGGAACCATCTAAAAAATAATATATAAAAAAAATCATTTACATTAATAATATTATTCTTGTTTTTAGGGACGATGTCGTGTTGTGACACGATTATATGGTGAAAATATGACTAAAAATAATTTTTTAATTAATTCTCTATTATATTAGTTCAACAAAAATTCAAAATATTTTAATATGGCTTTTATGAAAGTCTCTTAGCCTATTTTCTTGTCTTAATAGCAAATAGATAAAAGTTAGTTAGTATTTTTATCCTGTAGGATATAGAAACTCTTTCACAACCTTAGAAAAGCCATAAATTGATAAAATAAGGATAAAAGAAATAAATGGTTGGTATGGTTGATACTAGGGTGAAGTTGAAGATAGGAATGGGCTAAAAGAATCCTTAAGATAGATTAGATTGATATCCAGGGGTCGACCATTTGTGAAACAAGGTCGAAATCAGATCTCTAGTCATTAAAACGACTGCCAAGGGCAAATTTAGGAGGCATGAGAAGATCAGAGATTAGGATTTGAGAGCTAGCTTGAATTTACTTTCAGGTGGATAAGGGTTGTTTTTGTAGGATTTTTGAGGACTAGGCAATGGTTGTTCAAAGTCAGGGTTTATATTATTGAGAAAAGCACACTATAAGCATAACACAAGTAAGTAGAAATCAACAAGGTTGCACAAAAGAGAAGTGTGGAATGAGATAGTTCTCTCTTCGACCTCTTGTTACTTATAGGTGGTGGTTGCTGCTCTAAAAGGACTTCTTCCACCATTTGACTTTAACACATATGCTCCTTGGATCCTTTGGCTCATACCACGAGGGTATCCAAGGATCCTAGGATCCTATGGCATCTTACATACCACGAGGGTATCCTATGCCATATACTAATTACTCTTACCTAGTTCTTTGGATATTTCCTAGGATACACTTTATCCTCTTGAATTTGACTCTCTGTCCTTGACCGCATCCTATGTCCATAGGATGCTTTTTCTATATGCCAAGAGTCAAGCCTTTGACCATTAGCAACTTACCTAAGGTAATAACCTTTACAAGATAACTTATTCTATTTTAACTATTATCTATTCATCTTTATCTTTTACCTCAACACTCTCACTTTGCTAATTGTCAAAGCCCTTCAAACCTAATGCCTCTTGCAATTCCATGAAATTGCTCCCACTCCAACAAAGAATACATAGTCCGTTGTTGACCGCCTATCATTTGCATCTCCAGCCGAATCCGCATCACAATAACCATGTAAAGCAATACTTTCACCTCCAAGGCACAATTTGAAGTCCAAAGTGCCTTTCAAGTACTTCATGATCCTCTTGATGGTTGCCCAATGAATTGGTCCTGCTTTTGACATGTGTTGACTTACGACACTCACCGCATAAGCAAGATCCACCCTTATACCAACTATTGCATACATGAGTGATCCAACTGCTGTCTTGTATGGAACACCTTGCATTTGGCCTTCAACTTGTGCAAACTCTTCATCCGTGAGCTTCATCAACTTCAAATTGGACTCCAAAGGTGTTCCAATAGGCTTGCAATCCTCCATGTTGAATCGTTTCAACATTCCTTCAATGTACTTTCTTTGGCTTATTCTGATGGTCTTTATAGTACAATCTCTTGTAAATTCTACTCTTGAGCAATAGTCAAGCTCTCCCAAATCACTCATCTCATATTCCTTTTCTAACTTTGCCTTCAACCAATCCATCATCATTAAAGTATTGGTTAAGATGATTAAATCATCTACATAAAGGATAACAATCATCAAGAACTCTTTTGATTGTATCACATACATAGAATGGTCAGCCTCACTTCTTTGGAATCCCTCATTAACAAAGAATATGTCAATTCTTTGATACCATGCCCTTGGAGATTGCTTGAGTCCATACAAGGATTTCTTCAACTTACAAACAAGATATTGCTTGCCTTGTTCTCCAAATCCTTGAGGTTGATCCATGTAGATGTCTTCTTGTAACTCTCCATTCAAGGAAGCCGTCTTCACATCCATTTGATGCATCTCCAAGTCCATTGCTGCCCCAATTGCCACAGTGGTT